CATTTGACAAGAAAGTCAGAGGATTTTTATGAAAAAAAAATCAAATTGGTGGAGAAATGAAAAGACATTTTGTCTTCTCAGATATAAACACTTAATATCATAATAATGCCAGTCATTCCATTGTTAACATATAATTTATTGTCATTTCCCATCAGAGACATAGATTTTCCTTAATTGAATGAAATTAATGTTCATTTGAAAGAACAAATGCTCAGGTATAGACAAGAAAGCCTGAGATAAAACAGTAATTACAGGGCAATTATTTTATGAGTTAGTTTAAAGTATAAGCGCACCCTGGAAAGCCAGTTTCACACAGTGGTTCTCACATTAAGCCAAGTCAGAATCTGCTGGAGGGGTAGTTAAAACAGGTTGCTGGGCCATACCTTGAATATCAGATTCTGAAGGCCTGGATTTGGCCCAAGAATTTGCTCTTCTAAAAGAGTCCTGCTGATACGACTGGGCTAGGAAATGCTTTGAGAAAGGCTCCTACAGCAAATCAGCAGAATGTTGGCAAAAAATTTTTTAAAAGACAACTTATTTGAACAGATGAGAGAAGCCAGAAATTAACCTGAGCATTGAATAAATGACAAAGAATGTGCATAAAGTGTGACTGAGTAAGAAAAGGAGATGGATAAAAGTTGGTGTTGTATGGATCAAAGCAAATTTAACACTAGCATGTGAGACTACGTATGTGTGTATATACATGGTTAGTGTGGGTTGAGGGAAGAGAAGAGGAGTTCAGTCACAGGGAAAGGGAAAGAACCAGTACTAAAATGTTACCAATATGTATGATATAATCATGCTTCTGCATTTATGTAAAAAGCTTCATGGCCACGATTCATGATATGTTAGAATGAAGACTGAACTGAGATCTAGACGCTAAAAACTACATTTCACAAGGAGATGTCAGACACCACTACTATCTTTCATTTTATGAATTAAAAAATAATTAGTTATCCCCTCTCATCCTTGGTTTCACTTTCTGTAGTTTTTATTTACCCATGGCCAACTGTGGTCCAAAATCATCAAATTGAAAACTCCAGAAACAATTCAAAAGTTTTAATCTGGGTGCCATTCTGAGTAGCATGATGATCTCTGTCTCTCTCTTTCTCTCTCTTTCTCACTTTTCCTGCCCATCTGCTTGCCCAGCATCTAGGCTGCCACTTGACACCCCCTGGTAGTAACTCAGTCTCCATCTTGGTTGTCAGACCAACTGTGGCATTGTCATGACACACTCAGAGAGGACTACAGGGACGGGGGACTTACAGACTCCTGGGCTCTTAACTTGTTACTCAACAAAAGCATGTTTTGTGTTTCTTCTAAAACAGTCAGGAATTTAAAAGTGTTTTTTGCTAAAACCTGTGATTCTTCACTTGGGCCTACAAAAGCCCAGCATGTAGCTAAAAGTAGAACAAAGCTGGACCTCCACTTTGTAAAACTCTAGGTCCAGAGTAATAAATGTAATAACTGATCTCAGCTCTGTATATAACAAGCAAGTTAGTCATTTAGGGAGTGTCTGTCTATAAGTTGGAAAATAGGGCTTAATTTACCTCCTATCTTATTTTATTGCCTTTCAAAATGGACACCGCCACCCAGAAGTTTCCATTCCCCTAAACCTGTGGTCACCCAGTGTTCCAGCAGAGACTCACATGACTGAGACTAACCCAAGTCGCGAGATTCACGCACAACCAAACTCCCCTGCAAGTCACCAGGATCCTTTAGAAGCTACAAAACCAGGTTGGAGGTCATGAAGGATGGGAGCCTAGCCTGCCACGGTATCCAATAAAGCTGGTTTTCAGTCTTTGGTAAATGGTCCCGTCTGATTCTCTTCATCAGAGTGTGCCTCCTCCAGCTACTCAAGCTGGAAAGAGTCCTCTCCCTATCTTTCCTCTTTCCAATTAAAGCTTTGCCTGTAAATTCATAGTTGGGTTGGTTTTAATTATCACTAAAGCAAGGACTCATACTAGATGGTATCACAGTGTTTATATTCAAGTCATCCGTATTTTATTTTGCAATGGCTTCAAAGCACAAAACTAATGATGTCAATTCAGACATGCCAAAGAGAGGCTCTAAAATGCTTCCTTTAAATGGAAAATTGAAAGTTCTTGACTTAATAAGGAACAGGCATAGCATATATAGGATTTGGTACTATCATCAATTGCGTGCATACATTGGATGTTTCGGCATTTACTCCCCACGGATAAGGGGGACCACTGTAATAAATGATCACTATTGTTGAGCCTCTGATCTAGGCAGCAGACAAAAATAAAGCCCTCTTGTCATGTAGCTCATGCTCTGTGACTCTGCATCACAGTATTCATCAAAAACAAAGCAAGAGAAACGTGTTACTTGCATCTTCACGTCTGTCCACATCACAGGTATTTGAATACCTACCAGAGGTTGACACTGTTGGGGACAGGATGTTCAGAAAAAAACATCTACAGGCTGAAATATCTGGAAAAGTCCTTACTTTCAGGTGGGAAGGGATGGGAACACCATAGCCTCTGCTCCAGGCCCAAGAAGGCTGGATATAATGCGGATTCCTCCAGTGGGATTCCTGCAGC